ATGAGAAACCATCATCCTGGGCTCCTCCGCTCTTTTGGAGTGGCAACTGGTAGTGAACTATTGTTATGAGATTCTGTACAGAACAAGATCATCACCTAGTGGCCACAAGCAGAACTCCTGCACAGCTTTTCCTGGCCAGCCAAAGTGATACAGTGAGAACAGCATCTTTGGAGGAGAAAAGATGTATCTTAACTCCCACATCACTTCCCCCTCCCCCAGATTCGATCCGTTCGTCATTGTCGGCTTATGTCTTCAAACTGGGTGCATTCAGCTAATGTAAATAATAACACAAAGGTAACCATGCTGTGCTCCATCTTTAAGCTGTTTGAAATGTCAAAGAATAAAAGAGAAGATATTGGTCAAATATATATATATTTACTTGAGTCAAATCAGGTTTTTATACTATAGATGAAAACTAATTTTAAAAATGTCTACTTTTCTTTCTTTTTCTTTCTTCTTTCTCTTTCTTCTTTCCCTTCCTTCCTTGCCTGCCTCCCTCCCTCCCTCCCTCCCTCCCTCCCTCCTTCCTTCCTTCCTTCCTTCCTTCCTTCCTTCCTTCCTTCCTTCCTTTCTCCTTTCTCTCTTTCTTTTAGTGCAGTGGCACAATCTTGGCTCACTGCAACCTCTGCCTCTCATGTTCAAGTGATTCTCCTGCCTCAGCCTCCCCAGTAGCTGGGATTACAGGCATGTGCCACTATGCCCGGCTAAGTTTTGTATTTTTAGTGGAGATGGGGTTTCACCATGTTGGCCAGGCTAGTCTCAAACTCCTGACCTCAGGTGATCTACCCGCCTCTGCCTCCCAAACTGCTGGGATTACAGGCGTGAGCCATCACTTCCGGCCCTACTTTCTTTTAAATTAAATTTCTATTATTTCTCCCCAAAGGTGTCTACCTAGTACATGTAAATAAAACTCAGTCAGAACTGGATTTCCAGTACAATAGTGTAAAAATTCAGTTAGAAGTTTTCTTACTATAATTCTCTTGGGAGACCCTTCTGGTTGGGGAAGAAAGATGGAAGGAGGGACAACTGGGAGAGAGAATCTTAAAAATGCCCCACCTAGATGCTGATTTTGCAAACAAGAAAATAAAAACAATCTGATGGTGCATTATTTCAGAAGTTAAGGAGGTGATGTGTGCTCTACTATTTGATATTAGGACACCTTAGAGGACATGCTGAAAGGGCCCAGGGATTTTTGTTTGTTTTTGTGGGATAGGGCAAGTTGTTTGTAAGTTATCTATAGGCATATGTTCTTTCTGTGTGTCAGCTGCAGGAAGTCTTCTGATTCCATGGCTCGGTCACCTGATGGACCAAGAAAAAGAAGTCTATCATTGCAAAAGCTTCCTTGGTTAGGGTGTTACACTAGCCATTGTGTTTCCATAGCAACCTATGGATGGGTTTATCCAGGAAAGCACAGGGGCCCGCCCCATGCATGGCCAGCAGAATCATGTCAGTGAGGACTGGACAAAAAGAAGCATAGGGTAAGATAAACGTGTTGTAAAAAGAATGTGTGTTCTGTATCACAAATTCTATTCTAAAATCGGTGCTAATTAAAAAGAAATAAATCAACAAAGTCCACAGAGGCCTTTGGTAAGTAATTATTTATTTGATCATCACATTAAAGAATAGAAATCTAATGTCTTGGGGAGTCTTATTACCTTAGCTTGAGACAGAAAAAGGAATAAATCAGGTTGTGTCCGCAGATTTGCTCAGGATGCTCTTGGGGAGATAATGTTACGTAATTTGGGTCATATGAGTTGGTTCTTTTGGGCGTTTTTAAGTTTCTCTTCATCCATGAAGCCTCCCAGACTATGTAGAGAAAATGGAAGTTTTAAAAACTTATAATCACTCCTTTCTCTGCCCTATCAGGTACTTATTTTCAGTTCATTAAATTAGAAAATAATATTCTGAATAAGAAAATAAAAAGTCGATAATTTTTAAACCAGTGATAATGGACATCAAGCTGCATATTGATGCCCACAGTGTATGTCTCCTCAGAATCATGAACTCCTAAGAGCAGGCAGGCACTACTGAGAGTGGTTCACAGAAAAAGAAAGATGAAAGTCTTTAAATTACGTTAATGGATATATTTAACCACTTGGAGAAAGTAAGTATAGCAGTGGCCTCCTATAGCCAGCTCCTGCCAGCTCACATTGCTACATTCCTACCCCAGTGTCACTCCAGGGACTCTCTATTTCTTGGGTAGCTGTCCACTAATTTTAATAAAGATGAGAATAACTAATAATCACGAACATTTAGACAAACGCACCACAGTTTACATAGTGTTTTCACATCTACTTGTTAAAAGCAGGTATTATCATTGTCCCTGCATTTTGTAAAAATTGAATATCGGGGAAAATCACAAAAATGTTTGGAGGTCAAACAGGTAGTAAGTGGGTGTTCTGATCTTCTAATCTAGGTCTTCTGACAATAAATTCCAGATAATAACAGCTAGAAGGTCTTACCTTTTTCAGAAGTACTTTCAGTTTACTGGGGAACTCTAATAAAAAATGTGAAAAGTCTTTAAAAATTAAATAATTAACTTTCGAATGCTGAAATTTCAGATAATTTTAGATTACTGCTAGTGTTTTCTCTGAAATCATATGAGTATCCTCCCAACATGGATTCTCCATGATAGACTCTGGTGGGAAAGATAGGCTGCTAGAAGGCATGGGAAGCCTGGTTCACTTGGGAACTCATCTCACATCCTAAATCAATGTTTTGCTGGTAATCATTAAGTAGAACATTCTTACTAAGGGTGTCACAAATAGGTATTTGCTACATCTCTTTGTATAACCAGCTGAGGAAAAATCCTAATAGATTCTCTATTACAGATCACTTTAATTACTGTGTATATGATTTATTGTATTTCCAGATATATTAATTAAGGAAATAACTCTCCTTTTCCCCTTATCATGACCTAAACCTCAAGACTACACTGAACAATTTTCCATGCATATGTCTTTAACAAGCCTACAGAAAGAAATGGTAGAAATGAGCAAAAAAGATCAGAAAGGTGGAGAAACAACTCTGGAGAGAAGTCAGCATTCCTGGGTTCCAGGCCTGGCTCTGCTTGCAACCAACTGTGTGATCTTGGACAATGAGTTAATCTCCACCTGAGTTTCCAGATGTGGGCAACACTGGTTTTGAATCTTTTACAGATATTCAACTCACAGGCCGCCAATAATTTATCAGTAATTAATCAATCAGCCCTAACTATTTTCATTTTAATGCATCTTTAGTCTTTAAACATATGGGTGTCTCAGAGTGCCCAGAGGAAATCTTAATTAATTCTCTAAAAAGGTTATGACCAGAAGAAGCAAAGAACAGAGAATGTTCATATGACCTCCAAGTAAGGTGGTTTTCTATAGTGTATGCACACCATCATGGAAGACTTTCATGGATAATGGAGTCAGTTTGTACACTCACTGATTTTTCAGTGTGTGTCTAGAAGTTAATTACTGAAAAAAAAATAGATATTTCTTGTTATCAATATTTTGTTTATAGTGAGGGCATCACATGTTATCAAGACATTTGCTATCTGATTATTTTAGGGGGAGTAGAAAGAACAGGCAAGAAAAGGAAAGGAAAGAAGAAAGGAGAAAGGTAGGAAACTCCTTAAAAATATTTTGGTGAGGAAAATGTTTACCAAGTGTCTACCTACAACTAGGCCATTTCCACATGAGGATTCAAAAGAATGTGTTATATCAAGACTCTCTTGGCCAGGCATGGTAGCTCATGCCGGTAATCCCAGCAATTTGGGAGGCTGAGGTGGGATGATCACTAGAGGCCGGGAGTTCGATCGAGACCATCCTGGGCAACATGGTGAAACCCCGTTTCTAGTAAAAATACAAAAATTAGCTGGGAGTGGTGGTGGGTGCTTGTAATTCCAGCTACTTAAGAGGCTGAGGCAGAAGAATTGCTTGAACCTGGGAGGTGGAGGCTGCAGTGAGCAAAGATGGCACCACTGCATTCCTTCCTGGGCAACAGAGGGAGACTCCGACTCAAAAAAAAAGAAACTCTTAAAATATTCTAAGATTTTAAGTCCAAAAAGAAGCCTCTGAATGTAAGATATAATAGAACTATTTATTTGTCTATTCATTAAACTTCTGGTAATTTCAACTATGTTATAACCAGCTGCAAAAGGAAATCAAAACAAAACTCAGAGCCTACTTACTTTAACTTTATATAGAAATCATTAAGCTCAGTGACTAGTTTCTGAAGTAATGTAAACTTCATGAGGCTTCATGAGACCATTTCTTTCATAGCCCCAGTACTTAACTCAAAACCTAGTTTAGGGAATGGGTTCAATAAATATTTGTTAATGAAGCCAAGTGATTAGATAAACAAAATGTAGTATAACCATGCAACAGAATACTATCAGGCCATAAAAAGAAATGAAATGTTGATACATTCTATACATGGATAAAACTTAAAACCATTATACTAAGTGAAATAAGTCACAATAGGCCGCATATTGCATACTTCTATTTGTATGAAATGTTCAGAATATGAAAATCCTTAGAGACAGAAAGTAAATTAATAAGTGGCATGGAGAGGAGAACAGGGAGCAACTGTTAAGGGTATAAGATTTCTTTGATGGGTGATGAAAATTTTCTGAGTGTAGTGATGGTTGCCTTTCTCTGTGAATACACTAAATACCACTGAATTGTACATATTACACAGTTGAATTTTAAGTTATGTAAATTTTGTGTCAATAAAGCAGTTATTGTATACAAGATTAAAAAATAAAGATTTGTTAATGAATGAGGAGGTTAGAAGCGGTATTCAGTAGCTGGGGTTGTTGGAGAGCAGTACACGAAATTAGTAGAACTGATGGCTGATACCCTGGAAACCAAAGAAAGAGTGAGAAAAATCATAAAACCCAGACACAAAGGCCACTGCTTTGAAGAAACAGTCCTACATACCTTACTGACTCTAAGCGATTATAGCACAGATACGAAAACAATTGCCATGAACAATAATGACCCTGAGTCATTAGGAAACTTTTGATCTTTGTTTAATAGACCTCATTTGATACAACTCAGGGAGGGAGCTGTACAATGCACTTTTAAGATATTTTATTGGACAGGATTAAAATATCACTCTGAGAACCCTTAGTCCCCTCTCATGCTAGATTTCCTTTTCAAAATGTGACTTGATGATATAATAATGTGTACTTTAAACCTCCCTTCCCTTCAAAAGATCCTTGGTTCTATTCCAGGACCTCTAATTCCAAAGTATCTTTTGTAGACCCAGAAAGTATGCGTTTTCTTTGTCTTTGTGATGTATTACACCTCCCAGTGCAGAATTTTAATATATTCCACATATCGTATCTTCCTGTTTCAGTTACAAAACAGTACAGAATTGGATCAGCAACACAGTTTAAACTTGTTAATGCGACCGTGATTCTATACATTGTGTAAGTTTGCTTCCCAGACTTGCTGTGGTCATTGAAGTTCACATCATGCTCTAAAATGCAGCGAATCAGCAACATCACATGAAAGGGAGTAAAGCATAAGACAAAAGTCACTGTGATGCTGACAAGGAGTTTTATGATTCTCTTCTTTTCCTTGTTTTCTGTGGCTTTATTGTGCCGCACAGCTTGGTAGACTTTCTGGTTGCAGATCAGGATGGTGACCAAAGGTATTGCATAGCCTGTACACGTCCTGAACAAGTTGAGGTTGATTTGCCATTTCTCTAAAGGGTATTTGTCATAGCATAAAGTAAAATTAGACATTTTGGCATCGCAATATTCAACACTTGTTTCATCTTCCCACAACATGACAGCATTGAAGATGGTTTCCAATACCCAGATGGAAAGGCTGACCATGAGTGCAAATCTTCTTGTCCTTAGAAAAAAAAACTTCAGAGGGTAGACAACAGCCAAATACCGATCAACGGCAATGCAGGTGAGGAATGCTGTGCTGCTGTAAAAGTTCATGTACGTGAAGAAAGCACTTCCTTTGCACAAGGCAGCAGAGAAAGTCCAGTTGTCTTTATTCCAAGTATAATCAATCCATAAAGGGAGAGTTAATGCATAGAGCAAATCTGATAGTGACAGACTGAAGAGGTAAATTCCTAGTTCACTTTCCTTCTTTGCTTGCAGGAAAGACACACATAGAGATCCAATATTGGCCGGAATGCTGACTATAATCACAAAGATGTAAACAATAGGAAACAAATAGTGATCCAGCTCATGCTGTTCTTCAATACATGTGCTGTTCATGTTTTTCTTTTTAAGGTAGCAATTATATTAGTTCTTAGAAGGCAAACAGAAAAGTAAGTCTTGTTTCGTTGTAGTTTGTTTTGAACATCAGATTCTCTTTTACTATTTTTTTTTCAATTTTTCTTTGTTGTTTACAGTTCTAATTAATTCATCAATGCTTTTAAAGGGTGGATGTAGATCAATTTCTACACAAGCACCAGCAGTCAGAAGTCAAAATCCAGGCTCCTGACAGTTGGCTAAAGGGATCAACTGAATTTACTGAACAGAAGTCCATGCGTTCATTATCACAGAACACTGACAAAACCCACAAGGATCAACTGCGGTATTTGTAAGTGTGCATGGAGAGCTGTCTGCAATTTGTTTTTCTTCATAAATCTCACAGTCGATTGGTAGAAACATGAATATATAAGGCTTTGTTTTCATAGAGATTGGTATTTCCTTCTAAAATTCCTTTCTTTCTGTAATGAAAGATGAATTAAAATGGTTTAGATGTTTAAGATACATAACTTCATTACAATAATGATTTTGAAACAATCCATTTTTGTTTCATTTATGGAGATTTTGAAAATGCATTAAGTTACAGAGAAGGTGTTTAGAATGGGAAAATTGTCTGATTGACTTCAGTAAATAAAATCAAGCCAAGATAGTTTACTTATTTCAAATAAGAATTACCTGAGGTATACTGGATTTCAGTGAATTTTATTTCTCAATGGACATGACCTAAGAACATAAAACTCAAGTTAGAAAGCCATTTTAGTAGCTAAAGATTTCTATTATTTGTCTGTGATTGGTAAATACTTTTCAGTGTGTGATTAACTGTATGGTTACATGATTTCAAATTTCTAATTTCATATGCAATCTAGATATATGGTACTTTCAAAAATTACCTTATTATTCAAAGAAATAGTATAATAGAAATACAACAAAGTTGTAGAATTTTAAAATGTAGCAGTTTGTTAAACCTTAGCATATAATTAGACAACCCTACCTCTGTTAATCTTTTTGTTTCCTTTGTAGGCTAATACACTTTATCTTTCTTATACTTTTATAAATGAGAGAACAGAATTTTCTCAATTCTGGGTAAAATCTTAGAATCATTAATTTCTGCCTTTATACCTGATAGTTTATTAGGTATCTTTTTAAAGCTATGATGTCACAGATTAGATTAACATAAGAGTAAAGGTTCCATCCTTCTCTCCATACTGGAGTAGAGAAATATTTTGTCTATATCCCCTTGCTAGTGAGTTCTACTGGTGGTTTAGATGATTAACCTGGTGAATACCTTCACAGAAAGCTTTGTAGAAACACTATTCAGGACACCAGAATCACTCCCTTCCAACTGTTGATGAGTCCTGAACACAAAAAGAAATGCCAGGACAAGTCACAAGAATTCTACTAGAAGAGTAAACCATATGAGAGAATATATTTCACTCTTAAACAGAGAACTAAAACTTCTGAAACCTTTTAGCTTTACCAACGTAAAAAATAGGAATAAGATGTGAAAAACAGCCTTTTAAATAAATAGGGAGACTTCCAAAGGGGGAAAAAATTTGTGATGGAACAAAGGAGGTGGGAGCTGCTATCAGGGAGGTGAGTGAGCACTGAAGCTCTGGATGGCCTGAAGACATATGTAGATCTGGAGGAAATAACTAGGGATCAGAGAAACTACAGACAAAGCTTGGGCCTATGCAGGTAGGAAGGGGTCCTTGACCATTCCAAACACATGGGATCCAGGAACCTCTGCTGTCAGGGAAAGGGTGAACTAGAAAATAAACAAAAGAAAATAACAAACTCCACAGACATTTGCAGACAGTAGAGAAAAGATGGCAATTTCCCTGCACCTGCTTGGTTTCTGTGAGGAGTTATAATAAAAAAACTATACCCTAAGTATTTGTGGCCTGTGGGGTCCTCACTTGGAAAGTGGGTCTGGGTCTACATTGTTAGTTTGATCCTGCAAACTTCAGGCCAACCTACATGCTCAACTTCATTAGTCATCAGAGGAATTCAAACTAAGATTAAAATGATATGCCTCTACACACACAACAGAATAAATAAAATGAAAATAAGACAACATATCAAGTGTTAGTGAGGAAATAGAACACCTTGACTCATACGCTGTTGATTAAAAACTATTTGGCACTTATGTGTACCATATGATCCAGCAATTCCACCTCTAGGTATCTGTTCAACATAAACCCATACATAAGTTAACCAAAAGACAGGTACTAGAATTAGAATGTTCACAGTAGCACTATTTGTAATATTCCCTAACTAGAATGTCCATTAGCAGTATAATAGATGACTTAATTACGATATAGTAATACCATTGAAATCTATACCTCAATGAAAATAAATTATTGCTACACACAATCACATAGTTGTAGATCACAAATATAATGCTGAGTGATAGATAAATGCAAAAAAAAAAGTATGTATTATCTGATACAAATCAGGCAAAGTTAATCTATGCTGTTAGGAGTCTGAGCAGTGGTCACCTTTGGGGAAAGTCTGGGTACTGCTGGAACAGGGCATGAGGAAGACTTCTGAAATTTAGTAATGTTCTATTTCTTGATATGGGTGACTGCTTTCATGAGCATGCTCAGTTTGTAGAAATGTATCAAGCTGTACACTTAGGATATGTGCATTTTGCTGCATGTGTATTATATTGCAATGGAAGCATTAAAGAGAGGAATAAAAAGGCTGTATGAGATGGTGCGTAGAGCATCTTGACAAACGTGTTTTACCTGCAGATGGAACATATATGCCTTCCTAAGAAATTTGATTTTATTTCTATCCTCATATATGCAATGTAATTGAGAGAAACAAAATAGTAAATAAATAATTTACATAGTTATGAAAATATATTCACCAAAAATAAAGGTTGACTATATATGAAAAAATAAGTTCAAGGATCCTGGAAGAAGTAGACACAGATCCTCCCTTTTAGCAAGGTCTCTTAACTCAGGCCTCAAAGAATCCTACAGATAGAGTTCTAACAAATATGACCTTATTCACACACACACACACAGAAATAAGCCACTATGTGTGAGATTGAGCAGAAACAACAAAGAAGGATACTAGATCTGCAAAAACTTTAGAGATAAAATTAATATGTAAATAACACAAAAGAGATATGTTTAATATGTTTAAAGAAACAAAAGAAGGGATTTAAACACATGAGTAAGGAGGAAGAGATTATTAAAAAAATGACAAGGTATATTTTTTAGAAAGATTGAAAACATTTCTAAAAATAAAAAATATAATCTAAATTTAAAAATCAACACAGGGACTAACCAACTGATTAGATTCAGCTGAAGAGAAAATTAGTATATTGCAAGATAGAGATAAAGAAATAACACAAAATTATCAGGACATGAAAAGGACATGTTAAGGACATGAAAAGATATAAAAAAAATAGAGAATAAGGTGAAAAGGACAGCATATGCATAATTGGAATTCCATAAAGACTGAAAAGAGAGGATGTTGAAAGGGCAATATTCACAAAGATGATGAACTTTCTAGAACTGATGAGGGGATACTGAGGATGGATGAAGAATCCTCATGGATTCATTCCTCATGGATCTTCAATCCTCATAGAATCTTCAGATTTATGAAGCCTAAAACAATCCCAAATAGGATTAAAAACACACAAAAATGAAAACCTATACTTAGACACATTGCAAAAATATTGCAGTTTACCAAAGACTAAGAAAAAAAGAGCCAGAGAGATAAGATGGGCTATGACTACCTATGAAGGATGGAATTTAGATGGACAAAGGACTTCTCAACAGTGATAACAGACAGCAGAAGATTAAAAGTTCCAAACTTCTAAGAAAATATATGTTGTCCTATAATTGCATACTCAACAGAACTAAATTTCAAGGGCCAGAGAAAGAATTGGGACATTTTCAGATAAACTACCACTGAGAACATTTCCATCTAAAATCCCCATTAAAGAAACTGTTTTTTTTTTTTTTTTTTTTTTGAGACGGAGTTTCGCTCTTGTTACCCAGGCTGGAGTGCAATGGCGCGATCTCGGCTCACCGCAACCTCCACCTCCTGGGTTCAAGCAATCCTCCTGCCTCAGCCTCCCGAGTGGCTGGGACTACAGGCGTGCACCACCATGCCCAGCTAATTTTTGTATTTTTGGTAGAGACGGGGTTTCACCATGTTGACCAGGGTGGTCTCGATCTCTTGACCTCGTGATCCACCCGCCTCGGCCTCCCAAAGTGCTGGGATTATAGGCGTGAGCCACCGCGCCCGGCCTAAAGAAACTTTTAAAGGTTATAGTTGATGTAGGAAAAGGACACTAGAATAATGTCTGAGATGCAGGAAGGATTGAATCAGGCCCCTGCGGATGGGATTCTGATGCATACACAACACATCCAACTCTAGGGCTCATGTGTCTTGGGCAGAACACCTGAACCATGAAAAAATCCTCCCTTAAGACCAGGACCGAGAGAAAATTGGGTAATAGGCAATGTGTACCTCTTCCTCCCTTGTCCATGTTCCTTCAATAAATATGCATCATTTTCTTTTAAAATAGTATGATAGATTAAATGAAAAAAATGATTTTTAGAAAGGTTTATAAAGTTTTCAATGGAATACATTTCTCTAGCTGTAAAAGCATTTCCTGCCTTGACTTAACCACAAGACAGGATGGGTTGATGAAGCAGACAGAGGGCCCTCTTCTCTGTAGTGACACAGAGGCAATACAGACTTGTGGTTATGAGCGTAGGCTATGGAGACAATTCAAAAGCCTCTCGATAGGATCTGGGCCCACTGTGTTTCTTTACCTTCTAAGTTCCAGTTTTCACCTGTGTAAGTTAGTATCCACTTTGTAAGATTGTTGTGAGGGCTAAATGAAATGACATATGAAGCAAAGTACTAGCATATGAGAGGCATTCACTGTACATGAGCTGGTAGTATTGTTTTAATGCCACTGATAGTCTGCAGCCAATCTTGGTGCTGTCCCCCAAATTTCCTGAAAAGAAATCATCTTTAGCCATCTAGCCAGAGCATAGCAGAAAAGCTAGAGGTGCTCAGAGTATAATTTGTGTGGTAACACTTCACATATAATACCAAGTTCTGCAGATAATAGTTGTTCATTTAATTTGGATGGTCTGATATTTTAATGGAATACTGTATGTAATTCCTATTATAGTATTCATATATCTTTTCAGATATTATTTTGGTACCGTTAATCAAATTTTGAGAAAATTGTTTTTAGAACCAGCATTGAGAAATTTAGGTGAGTTTTTAATTTTAAAATTTTTACCAAATGTCCAAAAAGATAATTTACAGAATACTAAAGTATATCTATTCTTGACCAGCTCTAAACACAGTACAAATCATTGATGAAGGTGACAAAAAGTAAAATATTTTCCTACAGTGTTATAGAAAATGCTTGCTTTCATTTATCAGTTTAACAGTTACTTATTAAGACTCTACTATATTTCAGGCACTGTGATAGTCACTTTTTAACCAATAATTATTACTTGGCATTTATTAATACTGGAAATATTCTTTCCAAACACCACATTTTTTTCTGACAGATATCAAAAATATTACTGGACCATTGTACAGATGAGGGATGGATGCCAGATAGCTCTAAAGCCAGGAGCTGGTAGGCTTCTTCCCAAATACTGAACGAAGTTTGCCAAAGCACTGTTTCCTGAAAAGAAAATAAAGTATAAAGAACCCCCTTTTTCTATATTTATAGTTTTACCTAGTTTTAAATTTAAATTTTGGCCCTTTACCACTGCTGAAAGTAGAAGAAACCATGTGTCTTCCTCATTTCTTTCTCTCTTACAATGCTTTGCATACTATGTTTATACAGCCTAAACCAGGTAGAATGTTGCGAACATCGCTGACAGTTATGCCAAAGCATGTTATCTACTTTAAAAAAACATGTTATTTTTTAATCTTATACTTACTCATGTTTCTTCGGGTGATGCGTTTGTTGACCGAGGAGCTTGATAAATCTGTGCCTGCATCAAGTCAAGAAGAGAAACCAACACTGCTGAGGGGACAGGAAATTGCACTCATATTTCACCACAAACCAATGAGGAAGCAGCATCTCAATGAGAAGGACGTGCAATACCCAAATTTGGACAACAATGTCTTCTAAATACTTTTAAAGATTTTCTATTTATTGTTTACTGTACTATAATTTTTATAACTCACATGTCTCATTGTGTCTTAATTACAAGGGTATACAGATATGATATGCCCTTTGCTTAATGGAATATATGTTAGATATTTTTATTCATTCATTCATTCACTCATTCAATCATTCATTAACTCATCATGCTTTATATTCTTCGGTAGTGTGCTGGGAGATGTATAGAAACTGGCTATCAACCAAAAGGACTTTTTTTTACCTAGAAAAAGAGAAAGATATGTTTAATAATAATTGTAGTGCAACGGCAAAATGAAGAAGTACTTCAAGAGGGAGACAGATAAAACAGAATGAGCCATTTGGATGTGCAAGATAGGGGAGGATATTGTAGATAGATTCAGTGTGATAAAGTTTCTGGGAAAAAAAAAACAAGACAGAGAATTGGGGATTGGGATTTAATGATAGATATTGTGCTATTCAAGGCAGGGGTTGAGGTAGCCAACTTCATAAAGTCTTTTGTGGTTTTTTTTTTGGAGGGACTACTGGGATTGGACATACACAGTATTTGATTGTAGAACTATTTCTCCTTTGAGTCTCCTCTTGGAATAGAAAACAGAGATGGCTAAAACCAGTTGAATTAACTGGCAGAGACAACTAAATAATTTTATAAAACTTGAAAATTTTATTTGAGAAAGACTTACACTGTTAGTATAAAAACTCATCTACTTTAGCAAGTTAAAGTTAAAGCCAAATCTATAAGTGGCTTAATATGAAGTGAAATTAGCTTCTATAACTTTCTTACTATTAATATATAAAAAAGTCAGAGATATCACTTTGAAGAACAGAATTGATTTGGGATGAAGACATTTAACCTGATTTTGAAGACTGTAATCAGGACATTTTGAGTCTATATTTGTAAAAAGACATTAATGGTTGTTGTTGTGGCTTTTTTTTCCTCCCTACCCAGAGATGGAAAAGATGAGCCTGGCTTTTCATATTAAAGTTCTTCAGGGTATATGAGGAATGCAGAGATTTTCAATACTTCCTTTGCAGGTCTTTCTTTGAGAATAATAAAACGAATACCTCACATTTATAAAGTACACGAGTGTTTACAAAGTAATTTAGCATATAGTAAATCATAAATTAGAATATATTGTTACCAAAATAAAAAGTATAAAGTAAAAAATTAATAATAAATTTCTTGAACTTTTACAAAAATGAGAGTAATGATTTCAGTTTACTCGTGACTCTAATCCATAATTTTCACTTTTGCTTGGTTTCGTACATCCTCTTATCTGTAGTTTCTATACATGGTATTTCTCTTTTTAAGTTCAGGGATACAAGTGCATTGTTATGTAGGTATTTCACAACTTTCGTGATCTCTTATTTTATCTGAATAGGCTAAACCGCTTTTAGGGAAAGGGTATTTTATTATCCATATCAGATATTTACGTATTTTGCTTTTCCAAAAATGTATGTGGTTAAGAAACATAAGAAACACAAACTTTCACTTCTGCTGATCAAACAGGAGAAAAAGCTAGAGCTGACCTATACTAAAACCTTGCCAACTCTACACAAAAAGAAATTTACCAGCTTTTAAGAAATTTGCTTCTTGATACAGAAAATATGGCAGTACTGTATTTTCAACTATAGGGCTATGTATTACAATGAATGGTTAGAAATTTTAGACCACTGAGTCACTGTGACATTTTAACAACATAACGATGAGATAAAGACAATTAGTAGTTATTCAGAACACTGCCTTAAGTGGGGAGGCATTTCTGACCAATTGATCTTCTGTGGTCACAAACTGGGGACCGAACACTGGCCAGTTGGGCTACCCATGGGGTAATGGGGAAGAGATTGTGGATCTACCTGGTTCCAATTCTCCATGGGGTAGACAGTGCAAGAGTGTGTTCTACCGATGAAGGGGTCCTTTGTGAGGCCACACTATTTGCTAGGTGTACTTTCACTAGCTAAAGCAGCAACCAAATGTGGCAGGGTGAGATTTCGAAATAATGCTGTATTTTCCCAGCCACATGTCTTTTCGCTCTAGCCCTACCCTTACACAATCAGTGAACCATTTTGCAGTTATTACCTCAAGGAAATTTCTGGCACAAAGCCGGGGGAAAAGAAGAAGACAATGTGAGTTTTGAGTTTCAAAAGATTTAGCCAACTCAAGGCCATGGAAAACACTGAGGCACAGACACTATGCTTGGGAGAATATCTGTTGAAATAAGTAAAGCTACCCAGACCCCAAAACAAAAAGATTGTCCTGCTTGATAGGGGTTGGGCTTACCGTAGTGAGAGAGGAAGTATGTACAAGAGCTTAGATGTGGTGAGCACTTGAGAAAGGGGCCCCGCATCCTGATTGCTGTACTCTCTTCCAAGCAAGTCCTGAGGTAGTGGTGGCTGACAAATACCCTAGATGAGGTGTGTGATGTGGGGAGGAGAATGAACCTGTGCCTCATTTTCAAAAAGAGACGCAGGAGTATATACCCGAGAGGGCTGAGACAGCCTCACTGTTGTAGTTGGGGTATGGTTTGTTTGTGTTCACAAAGCTGGTGTTGAAATTTGATTCCCAGTGTGGCAGTAGTGGGAAGTGGGGCCTAGTGGGAGATGTTTGGGCAATAGGGGTGGATCCTTCCTTAATGATTTGGTGCGCTCTGAGGTAGTGAGTTCTCTCTCTGGATTAGTTCTCCCAGGAATGGATTAGATCTAGAGAGAGTGGGCTGTTTGTTATAAGAGCCTGGATACCTCGCTGGTTTCCCCCTCTTTGCATGTGTCCACTTCCCTTTGGATTTTCTCTGCCATGCTGTGGTGCAGCATGAAAGCTTTTGCCAGAAGCCAGGGCCACACCCTTGAATTTCTTGGCCTACAGAATCATGAGCTAAACAAACCTCTTTTCTTTATAAATTATCTAGTCTCAGGTATTCTTTTACAGCAACACAAAATGAACTGAGATGCTCATCAAGTCCCTCTGTGCCCATATAGCACAGGTGGAGTAGAATGATTTCTGGACACCATGAGGGGCACAAAGAAATGATGGGAAGCTTCAGCCCAACTCACAGCACTTTCAGTGGCCCAGTGCAGCACTTGGTCATCACTGATAAGGAACAGCTCAGGTTAATACTACATGGGCTAACTACCAAAGACCAGAAGGGAAAGAGGGTGTCTCAGGAGATGCCAGCACTGATACAGGGCAGTTCTGAGAACCAAGGGTCAAGCTACCCTCCAGCTCTGGCAACATGAAAAGTCCCTGAATCTGAGATGGTGTTATTACCTGAATTGTGTCCTTCACCAAAATTCATATGCTGAGGTTCCAATCCCCAATACCTAAGAATGTGGCTGCATTTGGATATAGGGCCTTTACAGGGGCAATTAAATTAAAATAAAGCTGCAAGGAAAGGCCCTAATCCATTCTGACTGGTGTCCTTATAGGAAGAGGAAATTTGGTAGCCTAGAAGAAATGGAGAAGTTCCTAGACACATACAAATTGCCAAGACTGAAACATTAAACCGCCCCCCACTCCCCCCCACACAGAAAATCTGAAGAGACCAATAACAGGTAAGGAAATGTTATCAGTAATAAAAAGTCTACTACCAAAGAAAAGCCCAGGACCTAAAGTCTTCACCGCTGAATTCTACCATATATTTAAAGGTCATACCAATTCTTCTCAAACTCTTCCAAAAAATTTGGAGAAGTGGGAATACTTCCCAATTTATTTTATGAGGCCAGCATTACCTGGATACTAAAACCAGAAAGAACGCTACAAAACAAAAAATTACACACAAATGTCCTGATGAATATAAGATACAAAAATCCTCAACAAAATACTAGCAAACTGAATTCAACAACACATAAACAGGATCTTTCACCATACATCACTTTAACAGAATGAAGGACGAAAGCCATTTGATATCTCAATAGATGCATAAAAAGCATTTGACAAAACTAAACATCCTTTTATAATAACTCTTAATAAATTAGTGTAGAAGGAATGTACCTTAACATAATAAAGGCCATATATGACAAACCCACAGCTCACATCATACTAAATAGTGAAAGTTAAAAGCTTTCCCTCTAAGATCAGAAACTGGGCAGAATGCTTACTCTTGCCATTTTTATTTAATATAGTACTGGAAGTCCTAGCTAGAGCAATTAGGTAAGAGAAAGAAATAAAAGATATCCTAATTAAAAAGGAAGAACAGAAAATGCAACCCTAAAATTTATATGGAATAAAAAATAACTCCTAATTGCCAAAGCAATGTTGGGCAAAAAGAACAAAGCTAGGGGCATCATACGACTTGACTCCAAAATCTACTACAATGTTACGGTAATCAAAACAGTATGGTGCTGGCATAAGAAGAGAAACAGATTGATAGAGCAGAATAAAAAGCTCAGAAATAAATACACACATTTGCAGTTAATTGATTTTTGAAAAAGGTACCAAAAATACATGGCGAAAGGAAGTCTCTTCCATAAATGGTGTTGGGACAACAAGATATTCACATGCAGGGGAATAAAATTAAACCTTTATCTTACCCATATGCAAACATTAACTCAAAATGGGTTAAGACTTAAATGTAAGACCTGAAACTGTAAAACTGGTAGAAGAAAACTCCAAGACATTGGTCTAGGCAATGATATGACCCCCAAAACACAGGCAACGAAAGTAAAAATAGACAAATGGAATTACATTAAACTAAAAAGCTTCTGCATATCCAAAGAAACAGTCAACAGAATGAAGAGACAACCTACACAATGAGAGAAAATATTTGCAAGCCACACATCTCAGGGGTTAATATCTAAAATAAATAAGGAACTCAATTCAATAACAAGAAAATAAATAACCTCATTAAAAATGGGCAAAGGATCTGAATAGACATTTCTCGAAAGAATACATACAAAAGGACAACAGGTATATTAAAAAATGCTCAAAATTACTAATCACAAGGGAAACACAAATTGAAAATATAATGAGATATCACTTCACACTTGTTGGAATGGCTATGATCAAAAAGAGGAAAGAAAATGTTGTCAAGGATGTAGAGAAAAGGAACCCATGCACACTGTTGGTGAGAATGTGACTAGCCACTATGGAAAACTGGCAGTTCCTAAAAAAATTAAAACTACCATATGATTCAGCAATCTCACTACTGGATATATTTCTATTAGAGAGAATTGTAATAGATGTTTCAAAAATATTTCGAGTGGTGAGAACCTCTTGTACTGTCATTTTCTTCATGCCTGGTACCTGAGGCTAGGTAGACTCTAAAATTCTTTTCCTGGCAGGAGTGCAATCAAGTGGGTATTTACAATCCAAGGAAGAGCAGAAATATCACAGGTAAAGCATAGGAGGACAGTACAATTTCCTGCAATTTCTTTATTTGAGCAAATCTGTGCTGTAACAATTACCAGCCAAGGACTACAGGTGGTGAAGGCAGTTTTTACAGTGGAGAAATGCACATATGGAGGCTGATAATTCTTTGCAATTATCACATCAGCCTTGGATTATAACCTGGTGTATCCTTCAGGGTTCCTTGCTGCAGGTAACAGAAATCATCTGTGGCTAACCTGAACAGAAAATGAATGACTTAGAAAGAAATCAGGATATGGAATGAATTGATGCAGAATAGGCTAGAGTCAAAGGACAAAAAGCCAGGTCACTCTCTCTGAGCATTCAGGTGAGAATGGCATTGCTTGACCCCACTGCTTTAGGCACCTGAGGTCACCTCTGATGGAGCCTCTATGCAGTTGCCTCCTCTGGACTCTGACATGGCTTTTGTGAAATTTCTCAACTGTGCATACATCTAGCTACTCTTCCAAGGCCAAATCTGCAGATTCAAGGAACTGAATGAGAAAGCGTGGTCATTGTCAGGGCGTGTACTACATTAAGAGGGAGGATCTGGTTCCTTTAATTCTGAAGGAGGCAGAATTCTGCTTCACACCAAGACTCTCACTGTGAGGAATCAGCCACACTGGACATGGATTTACATGATGGTAGACAACAACCTAGCAAAAAGAAAAATTGAGGCCAATACAAAGGTAGGAATAATCTGTTTTTGCAGAATTAATTGTGGGGAAAGCAGTAAACTCACAAGTTATATGATAGTTACATAGGTATGTCATTTATGTTACTATTTATGTAATAAGCACTTATATAACACATAGGATGTGTGGGTCACTCTTCTAAGTGCTATATGAATATTAGCTTGTCCAATGTTCACATTAATATATTGCCATCATTATCTCTATTTTATGGATGGGTAAACTGAAGCCCAAGGAA